TGGAGGTCAGTCTCTACACTCTATACTAGATAGTTTTGATAAATGTCAATATTCCATAATTAAAGTGAGTTGATGAACATTTTTAACGGGGCCAAATGTCACCCAACTTCATCAGTTTTATGTTTTTCCAGACTGTTGTCTAAGTAGCTAGCCAGCTAGTGACTACCGATAAGCACCAGTACATCCTCAGAATTCTAGCCAAAGGAATGACCTTGCTAATGACATTTGATGAGATTTTAACCTAGCAGTAATCAGCTACATCTGAGGGGACAAAGTTCTCTAGCATGCTAACCTAAAGGTGTAAAATAACCATTAACGTAATTAAATGGTAAAAAAGCTAATAACCTAGCTAATGTCACCTGACAACAAGATTGTAACAACCTAGCATTAGCCAGTTAACACTTTAGCAACAACCTGAGGGGACAGTAGCTGGCATGCTAATCTTGTCATATAAAATGACCATCAGCATACAGAAATTACTAATAAAATCATGTTTCTATATGTTTATGAACACAGATGAGAAAAATGATTAAACCACCTAATAACATTTGACAACAAGAAAGCCTGCATGCTAATCTAAAAAAGCTAATAGGCCTGCTAGCATGTTTCTGGGCACCTTAGCAGGCAAAATATTCAAGGTATTCATATCCAATGAAACTTTTTTGTCAGAGATTCAACTTGTAGTTTTATTAGCACTGTTCCAAAAAAAAAGTGTCCTACATTGTATGAAATGGCACCGACAGCCGTGGGCTTTGTAGTTCACTTGATTTTTTAAATCTTTACAGTTATATAGCCCAGCTAAATATTCTGTTATTATATTGTATTTGTAGCAGATGTGCCTCCATGGTCATGCAATGACTGTGTAATCATAAAATATTTCCCTATGGGCAAAGTGATTGTTAACTGAAGGCACTTTTCCTTATTGTTTTCAGTGGTGGTGATAAGAACCAGACTGAAAGCCTCGGTAACACTTTCTATGAATGTCACGTTTGTAAGCATCTACAAACACATTTATAACATGTTATAATGCCTTCATACGGCATTATAAACATGATTATAAACATTTATAAAAATGAATTACACAGAATTACACTTTATAGCCATGTTTATTATACATTATGAATTGTTAATATAATGCATTATAAATAGTGTTAATAACATGTTATACTGTCAGTGCCAAAGAAGTCAGTCCCAGCTTGGAGAGCGTAAAGACAAATACCAAGCTAACGGTGGTGAACATTACCTTTCCCACATTGGGTAAAACACTGATGCAGCTCTAGTTTAAACTCTGACATTTGAAGCCTGTAATGTGCTTTACTGTGAATGTTTTAGTGTTTCAGTAAATCCTTCAGTAAATACTTCAACTTGAAGCCTCACTCTGAACACTGGAGGAGGCTTTAGTACAGTACGCTTCACTTTACTTAGAGCGGACAAATACGACTTGTGAGCTCTTATAATTTGTTATGATCAGTACTTATAATGTATTATGTTAACAATTCATAATGCATAATAAACATGGCTATAATGTTTAATGCATTTTTATAAATATTTATAGCCATGTTTATAATGCCTTATGAATGCATTATAACATGTTATGAATGTGTTTATAGATGCTTACAAAGGTGACATTCATAGAAAGTGTTACCAAAGCCTCTAAAAGCTCCCCCATGGAAAGTTATTACATGAAATAGTTATGAATTCACTGCCAGATGCCTGAGACATTTGTTTTATGATAGTTTTAAGAAGGTTTTGGCTGAAATTTCTAATGTCCATTAATGGCAGAGAGGTAAAAAGTGTTGTAAGACAAAATAGTACCAAAAGAAAACTTATTTTTTGGCACTATTTTACCATCCTTAACATTATATATGAAAACTCAGAAGACACATTTAGGTTCACTGGTAGTTTTGGATAATAAACAAAATGGCTATATTTCCATTTTAGTTCCTATTCATACTGTAAAGAAATTTTGAGTCTAAGCAAGTTTCTCTACAATGAATCATTTCACTGCAAACCTCTCTGTTTTCATGTCAACAATTAAATTGTGCAGAAGTTAAATGTCAAATTTAGTCGTATGCGAATACTCTAATTACGGACTTCTAGAGCGGCCCAGTAAGAGCAGCTGAAGGAGCAGAAAGGAGAGACAAGCATCTGTTCTTCATTTGTCCTCCTGTCATAAGGAAGTAGTGCAGAAGAACGAGCGCAGAATGGACAGAAGGGCTGCTGTCCAAACTGCTGGAAAACCCAAACAAACAGTCAAGATTACGTACACAGACACGTAAACGCATTCACACACACGTCCGCGCACTGCCTGCTTCTCTCTGCGTGAACAATGACCGATCAGAGCCGCGGTGATCAGAGCCAGATGAGCTGTGGTGAGCAGAGAGAAGTGATTTAGTGTTTTTCAGCACGGAGGCTGGAAAAGAATGAAAGAAGGCGATGATCCTTGAGGAAGCACGCTCCATTCCCTCAGACAGGACAGGGTGATGTCCACTCAAGACTCTGTCCCTCTGTTATTCCTCACATTTTCCTATCAAGGTCCTAAACTCGGGAGCTGTGCACTGGTGAATATTATGAATATACATTTCTGTGCTAAAAATGGGGCCCAAAACACAAAACATTAAGCTTTTAATGATCTTAACAACAAAACATTAAAGAAATAGATTGTTTACATGGGAGAGCTTCTCCTTTGGTTTCTTTAGATGTTGAAGTGTTGTAGGTAAACTTGCAGGCAGCCTTTTAAAGAAGGACTCAATACTGTTCCACTCATTGATAAACATTGACTGCTTCATACAACTGAAAAACAGTGCCAAACAAGTTTGTGTCGAATGTGAGACCAAATATTCTCTATAGGGTTTAAATCTGGACTCTGACCAGCCAAAACCAGCAGTAAAGACTATTATTTTGTTGCACAGGGGTCTATGTGCAGGTGTTTACAGATCTCTTCATCTTTTTATATCCATAGTATTGATAAGAACATGTTTTAAATCAATATTGATATCTAAAGGTGTTTTAAAATCCATATTACAGATACGGCTGTATGCAAAAAGTTTAGGTGCTCTAATCAGATGATATGTTTTGTTGATTTAATAAAGAGAACATACTCCTGCACATTTTAATGCACATTGTTTATTTGCTGAGAAAAAAAAATTGTAGCCTGTGCAAAAGTTATGGCACATTAAATATTTTTAATTTTTTTTTTAGAATAGGTTAAGCTCAGCAAATAAATAGAAACTGTACTAAATCAAATAGAAGAATCCCACATTTAAGTGTGTTACCTGTAGAAGATGTGTTAACGTATTCATTTATTTTAATGTTTTTCACTTCATTTCTATTTAACTTATTTTAAACATGGAATTTCACTGGGTGTGCAAACTTCTGCATACGATTGTATATGAAGGTGTTTAAATCCATATTATGGATATAGAGGTGTTTTATATCCACGGTATTAATATGTGAAGATGTTTTTAAATCCGTATTATTGATATGTTTTGGTGTTTTACATCCATATTAGTGATATACACCGATCAGGCATAACATTATGACCACCTCCTTGTTTCTGTGCTCATTGTCCATTTTATCAGCTCCACTTACTATATAGGTGCACTTTGTAGTTCTACAGTTACAGACTGTAGTCCATCTGTTTCTCTGATACTTTGTTAGCCCCCTTTTACCCTGTTCTTCAGTGGTCAGGACCCCCATGGACCCTCACAGAGCAGGTACTATTTGGGTGGTGGATCATTCTCAGCACTGCAGCAACACTGACGTGGTGGTGGTGTGTTAGTGTGTGTTGTGATGGTCTGAGTGGATCAGACACAGCAGTGCTGCTGGAGTTTTTAAACACCTCAGTGTCACTGCTGGACTGAGAATAGTCCACCAACCAAAAATATCCAGCCAACAGCGTCCTGTGGGCAGTGTCCTGTGACCACTGATGAAGGACTAGAGGATGACCAACACAAACTGTGCAGCAGCAGATGAGCTATCGTCTCTGACTTTACATCTACAAGGTGGACTGACAAGGTAGGAGTGTCTAATAGAGTGGACAGTGAGTGGACACCAGCACTACTATGTCTGATCCACTTGTACCAGCACAACACGCACTAACACACCATGAGGTGGTCATAATGTTATGCCTGATTGGTGTGTATGAAGATGTTTTCAAAGCCGTATTGAAAACATGTTTGTTCAAGCACATGCCTAATTTTTATATTTGTATATTATTGCTGTTGCTAACTTTACAGGGGAAGGAAAAAACCTTGACTTGTAATGGAAATTATTGGTGAAAGATACTTTTACAAGTAATTTTGGACCATTTGTGTTGCTCGCCCATCACAAAATTTTAACGCAGTGCAAAGAGTGACTACAGTTTTCAAAATATAAAAGTAAAAAAAACAGTAAAAAATGGAGATAAAAGTTTTTTGCACAAGAGGAATAATATATCTTAATATAACTGTTGTAAATGTCTTGTCTTCCAGTGCAGACCTGACATTTATATCTATGAAACGTGACGTGTTAGTATATAAATAAAGATGTAAACACTGAGCTTCATTCACCGATATCTTCCTCAGTTTGTTTGGTAATTATTTCTTGAGAAAGTTCCTAAGATCCTATTTATGACTGCAATGTCTGCATTTTTATTGATGTCCTTACTCATCCTGTTCCATAATGTCACAGGCGGAGATCAGGAATAATGAAGGAGGAATGGTTTGTTTTAGGGAGCAACGTTGTTTATGGGAATTGTTTGCGTCATACTACATGACGGGAAGCGTTTATGGTTTGCGTTGGCTCAGCACACTCCAGTAATTCTCTGACCTCAGTTTCATAATGTAATTTCCACATATGCACCTGTTCAAGATGAAAAATCAGATGTTTATTGCTTTTTCTTTTTCAGCCCAGCAAACTAGCAGCCACTCCTCACTTTAAACTTAATCTCTCTCTCTCTCTCTCTCTCTCTCTCTCTCTCTCTCTCTCTCTCTCTCTCTCTCTCTCTCTCTCTCTCTCAGGCGGAAGTGCTGTAAGGGTTTCAGGTTCGTGATGGGCCAGTGTATACCAGAAAGTAGGTAAAATCCTGTTTTATCAAGTGAATCACTTTTTGTAGACTTTTTTTCCAAGTATAATTAGTATAATAAGCTCAAACACTAATTTTAAATCGTAAAATGACTGTCAGCATATCTATAATTGAAAAGGACATGATATTTGTACATTGTACACAAAAAACCAGGTATTCCAAACACACAACGCTGTGCTTAAATCAGAGATCACCGTTCATTTATTCAGTATCCTGTCCAATAGGCCATTACGAACACATTATTCATTTTCAGGGAATTTTTCTGATGAGATTATTAACCTTTTCAACTCCTTGAGACCACCGGTGGTTCCAAAACGCACTTCGTCATGTTCTTTATAACTTTCATATTTCATAAGCTACATTCTAAAGGTGGGGGTCATATGAGAGCTGTAACTGTCTTCTTTCCAGTATAATAGATGGGTGATGTAATTTTAAACTCTTATAATAAAAGAAGCTGAACTCATAATTTTTTTTGTCTACTGAAAGTCGACCCATTTTTCCACAAATCTGAGCTATAAACTATACAGATGGCGTCTCTTCAGTGATCTGCTCTGTAAAAATGATTTTTATAAAATAATACAAAGAGCGTCTAAAATTTTTGGCTTTCAGCAGTAAATTATAAGCATATAGCAATATGTGTGATCATAAAACACATGTTAATTTGAGGGGAACTTTTACGAAAAAAAAAAAAATATATAAATGTACATTTAATTCATGCAGTTACTGAATAATTTGCCTTACAGTTTGGTCATGTAAATTCAGATGGACAAACCAAAATATACCATGGTCAATAATCCACTTGCATAAAATACTAATATTAATAATATTATATCAAATATTAGAGCTACAGAATAAATTGGGCTCCTAACAACCACCTGGAAGACCTGGTAGACACAAAAACTGCCCCCGTCAGATAAACAGCACTTAAAGCTTTCATCTCTGAGAGAGAGGAGAAAATCAAGCTGCTTCAGATCTGAAAACATCCACAGGTGTTTCTGGCCATCCTTCCACTGTGAGAAGACGACTCAGCGCTGTGGGTCTGAAAGGATGTGTAGTTGTTCAAGAAGAACTTTACTGAGAAAAGGAGACGGACACATCAAACACAGAAGCTGAACAATGGACTGACCACCCCAGAGTCCAGACCTCAACATCACTGAATGTGTTTGGGGTTTCTTGGGTTGTGAGAATCAGAAAATGCAAAACCAACTTGGTCGACACACTAAACACTGAGAACTGATGATATATTTAGTTGTTGAGGCTTCTGTGTAATTTTCTGTTGAATATGTTTTCTGAATAACTTGTACATAATGGTACATAATGGCCATTTTGACTGGAAGTTAAATACAGAAGGGTGGTCTCTGACTTGCGCACTGCACTGTAAGAAAAGTCTTTATCGAAATGTGATATTGTTTATTAAAACAAGGTATTTTTTTAATTTTTAATGAGTTTCAGTCAAACTTGATGGATTTTCCATTTGATGTCGTTACACCAGGTTATATTGTTCTTCACAGCCACCAGAGGGCGCTGTTGTTCTTTATATAACTGATCTGCCTGAGAAATTTGTGCATTTCTGTGTGTGTGTGTGTGTGTGTAGGTGTAGATGTGTGTGCTGGCTCTCCCTGTGAACAGCAGTGTACAGATAATTTTGGCCGGGTGGTGTGTACTTGTTACCACGGATACCGCTTCGATCGGGAGAGACATCGGCAGCACATACACCCGTACTGCTTAGGTTGGTGTTCTGGCACATTCATGTATTTGTTTATGACTCTTAATTCTCCAAATAATAATAATAATAATGGCTGCATAAACACTAGTTAGAGTAAATAAAATGAGAATTGACAGTTGAAATGTTGTAGACTTGATAACAATAAACATGTAGGTTATGGGCCCTTTGATCTAATATTTTTCTTTTTAAAAATGACAAAAATACATTTATGATATTACCTAGTCTCTCTGTCTCTCTCTCTCTCTCTCTCTCTCACACACTCTTTCTCTCACACTCTCTCTCTGTCGCACACTCTCTCTCTCTCACACTCTTTCTCTCACTCTCTCTCTCTCTCTCTCTCTCACTCACTCTCTCTCTATCTCTCTCTACACAGATGTGGATGAGTGTGAGGAGTCTAACGGGACGGTGTGTGAACATGTGTGTGAAAATACACCCGGCAGTTTCCGCTGCCAGTGCAGTGCTGGATACACACTGACCGCAGACCAGCGCTCCTGTACTCCTGCACACAACAGTGAGTGTGTGTGTGTGTGTGTTTTACTATCCCTGTAAGGACCACATGTCCCCACAATGATTGGACAAATAAGGACATTTATAAGGACATTTCAGTGCTTCCTTTTTTAAACTGGGAAAAACTAAAAGAGCAGACAGGTTGGGTTGCCTTTTGGATACTTAGGTTAAGGTTAGGTTTAGGTGCAGTATTGCTTGGCTACACTAATACATTGGAACTCGGTGCAAGTCCTCACAAGTGATATAATACAAACATGAGTTACAGCGTGTATTTCTGTGTGTGTAGCGTGCAGAGTTGGGTGAAGTCAAAAGTGTAGAAACACCATGCTGAATTCATGATAAATATCTTTATTATATTATTATTATTATTATTATTATTATTATGTGTGTGTGTAGTGTCTCTCGCTCACTCCACGGGATCTGTGGCTAAATCTGATAATCAGATGAGCGCGGGCTCCTGCTCCCTCACCTGCCAGGACATCATGAGCATGAGAGCCAGCCTACAGCAGCTCAAACTCCGCATAGGACACGCCCACTCACCTGGACAGGTAACACATACAAACACATGTGTACACATTAACCTGGACAGGTAATGCAGCCATATGTATGCATGAACTAGGACTGTAAACAACAATTACAGTTAATGTAATTGGTTAATCTCTCAACTTTTTTTCCAATTAATTGAGTAATTTAGTGATTATATTCCTGTTTTAGTGAGAAACAAATTTAAATAAAGGCAAAGAATCAAGAATTTGACATTTCATCATCCCAAATTAAATTGCAGTCATATACAAAAGTTTGAACATGTTTTGTTGATTTTCTAAGTGGAAGTACACTAAATGGTCAAAACTACTGGGACCCCAACACATTCCACCTACAGCAGCTTTTATGAATCCCATTTTAAATCCATAGGCATTAATATGGAGTTGGTCTCCCTTTGCAGCTGTAACAGCTTCCACTCTTCAGGGAATCTTTCTACAAGATTTTGGAGAGTGTCTTTTGGGCGAGAGAGTCTGGCTCACAATCTCCGTTCTAGTTCATCCCAAAGGTGTTTGATGAGGTTGATGTCAGGGCTCTGTGAAGGCCAGTCAAGTTCTGCCACACCAAACTCACCCAGCCATGACTTTACGGACCTTGCTTTGTGCACTGGGGCTCAGCCATGCTGGAACAGAAAAGGTTCTTCCCCAAACTGTTCCACAAAGTTGGAAGAATAGAATTGTCCAAAATGTCTTGGTGCTGAATCATTAAGATTTGCCTTCAGTGGAACTAAGGGTTCTAGACCAACCCCTGAAAAACAGCCCCATAGCATCATCCCTCCTCCACCAAACTTTACAGCTGGCACAATGCAGTCAGGCAGGTAACGTTCTCCTGGCATTTTCCAAAACCCAGACTCGCCCATCAGACTGACAGATAGAGATGTGTGATTCAACACTCCACAGAATATGTTTCCACTGCTCCAGAGTCCAGTGGCGTTGTGCTTTACACCACTATATTCAATGCTTGGCGTTGTGCTTGGTGATGTAAGGCTTGCATGCAGCTGCTCAGCCATAAAAACCCAAACCATGAAGCTCCTGGCACAGCTTTTGTGCTAATATTAAAACCAGAGTTTGAACTCTGCAGTTATTGAGTCAGCAGTGTTGGCACTATGCTCCTCAACACTCAGCGGCCCGCTCTGTAACTTTACGTGGTCTGACACTTTGTGGCTGAGTTGCTGTGGTTCATAAATTTTTCAGTAATACCACTCACAGTTGATTGTAGAATATCTAGGGGGGAAGAAATTTTGTGAACTGACTTGTTGCAGTCGTGGCGTCCTATTACTGAACCACGCTCGAATTCAGGGAGCTCTTTAGAACGACCCCGTTCTTTCTAATGTTTGATCATAGCTAGGTGCTTGATTTTATACACCTGTGGCAATGGGACTGAACGAAACACCTGAATTCTATGATTAAGAGGTGTGTCCCAATACTTTTGTCCACGTAGTGTATGTTAACACATCCTCTACAGGAAACACACTTGAGTAGAGCATTTTTCTGCATGGTTTAGTGAGCAATTTCTGTTGGAAGAAATTCAATATTTTTGCCAAAATGTTAAATTTAGCATGTAAACAACAATTGTTTATTAAAATGTGCATTATTGTGTTCTCTGTGGAGGATGTGTTTACTTATTTTCACTTAGAAAATCAAGACAATGTGGAATTTGAACAGACAAATATATGCATTAACACCTGACCAATACATTATTTGACCGATTAAATTGGCCAGTGTCAAAGTTCCAAGGTTCCATGGATAGCACAGATAATTCCTCTTTAAATGTTAAAGAAAACTACATTCAGGAAAAGATGCTAGTTTCTGAGTGATGTGCTGTTTTGTGTGTAGGTGCTGTCGCCTGGCTTAGCTAACAGCAGTGAAAAACCTTTTCCTGGCAGGGTGGGCAAAAATTCTGATGGCCACGCCCCCACGGGTCCTCCAGGGGCACCTGGACCCCCAGGCCTGCCAGGTACAACACACACATACGCACACAGCTCTTTTTCTTTTTTAAATAGTCTCAAAGCTCCCGATTTTTCAGAAATTGCTAAATAATTCAGAAACTGAGGTGTAAACAAAGTCTTTCAGAGTGATTTGGTGTGAAATGGTTCATTATGGAGAAACATACAGACTCAGATTACTTTACAGTGGTGGTGATAGGAACCAGGGGTCGCCATGACTACAACACAAATATAGCCATTTTGTTTACTGTCCAAAACCACCAGTGAACCTACACGAGTCTTCTGAGTTTTTATTTGTAATGTTAATGATAGTAAAATGGTGGAAAGTCTATTTCTTACAGGACTATTTTGCCTGATAACACCCTGCATGTACCCCTGAGGCGTAAATGTGTTTTAAAAATACATTTTAAACCCAAAGCTGATCTCACAGGCATCAGGCACCATATTCATAGCCAATTCATGTAATAACTTTCTGTGAGGGAGCTTTTTTAGAGGCATTACACTCATCCTATCACCACCACTGTAAACAATTCTGACTCAGTAAGTTTCTCTAGAATGGAGCATTTCACACCAAACCACTCTGAATGACTTTATTTGTGTCTTAACCATTTAAACATGCAGAAATGTGGCTCCCGAGTGGCGCAACTGTCTAAGCGTTGGCCCTATCATCAGGAGATCGCGAGTTCGATCCCTGGTGATGCTACAGCCATCCGTAGCCGGGAGTCCGAGAGAGCACAATTGGCCTCGCTCTCTCTGGGTGGGTAGGATGGCCCCTCCTTCTCCCCCCATCACTCAGCGCAGGCGTCTGTTAGCTGACGTAACAGTTGATAGTATCTTGTGATTGGGGGAGTCCTAACTAGCGGGTGGAATTGGAGACGACTAAATTGGGGAGAAAATCGGGTACAAAAAACAAAAAAACAAAAAAAATAAAAACGCAGAAATGTAAAAAAAAATGGTGGAATTTCTCTATAAGTGACTAGAAGTGGACACTATAATGACTATTTTCTTTAATAGTCTGGATGTAATTTGTGTTTTTAGGACATCCAGGGCCTCCAGGGCAGAAGGGGGAACCTGGAGCCAGGGGTCAGCCAGGCCCTCAGGGGCCCAGAGGAGACATGGGTCCAATGGGCCCCCAGCCTGACCTGGAGCACATAAAGCGAGGACGCAGAGGACCTGTGGTAAGCTCTTTAGCTATGGTCGCCCTCTGCTTCTAATTTTTTTTTGTCCAGATCTGATGTTTCTGGCTTGATGCTTCACGCTCCATGTGTTTTATAATCACGTTAAAGAGCAGCCAATCAGAACATTTATATATCAGTATATTATATTATATCTCATATATATTAAAGGCACAGTAACAGCCTGTTTAATTCTGCCTGTTTCTGGCACATAAACCCACACAAACTGGATTTTTGTCACCGTTTCCACAGGGACCACCAGGAGCACCTGGACGAGATGGACTTAAGGTATGTGTGTTAGTGTGTGAGAGTAAACAACACAGCCCCTTTTAGCACACCCTCTATAAATGGCTGATGATGTGATTATGTGAATGTTTTTGCTCTACAGGGAGAGAGAGGAGCTCCTGGACCCCGAGGACCACCAGTGAGTTTATCTGCTTCATTCAGCCACTATAGACTGGGATCAGATTCCTTTACTTACTGAATATCCTTCTTAAATCAATAAGCAAAACATTGGTTAAATGAATACGCAGGTCACATCTGCAGAGAGTTCTGATCAGTACATACACTCATCGGGCACTTTATTAAGAACACCTGTACACCTGCTCATTTATGTAGTTCTCTAATCAGCCAATCATGTTGCAGCAGTGCAGTGCATAAAATCATGCAGCTTCAGGTAACATTTGCATAAACCATCAGCATGAGGAACAAATGTGATCTCAGTGATTTTGACCATGGCATGAGTGTGGCCAGACAGGCTGGTTTGAGGATTTCTATAACTGCTGATCGCCTGGGATTTTCACACACAGCAGTCTCTACAGTTTACTCTGAAATGAGCGACAGCTCTGCAGATGAAAAGGTCAGCGGAGAATGGCCAGACTGGTTCAAACTGACAGGACGACTACAGTAACTCAGATAACCACTCTGTACAACTGTGTTGAGCAGAAAAGCATCTCAGAATGCTCAACACGTTGAACCTTGAGGAGGATGGGCTACAACAGCAGAATCCCACATCGAGCTCCACTTCTGTCAGCCAAGAACAGAAAGCTAAGGCTGCAGTGGCCACAGATTCACCAAAACTGGACAGTTTTGATGCATCTCAATTTCTGCAGAGGCACACAGATGGTAGGGTCAGAATTTGGCGCCAACAGTATGAATCCATGGACCCAACCTGCCTTGTGTCAGCAGTCCAGGCTGGTGGAGGTGGTGTAATGGTGTTTTCATGGCACACTTTGGGCCCGTTAATAGCAATCAATTATCTTGTGGAATCCATGCCGCGAAAAATTTAGACTATTTGAAAGCAAAGAGAGGCCCTACTAAATATTAGTGAAGTGTTCCTAATAAAGTGCTTGGTGAGTGTATATATGAGATACTAATGCAAAGCACATATAAAAACTAGTCTCTTGGGGCCAGATGTGATCTCATTACGAGAGTACGCAACTGGGTACAACTTGTAGAACCTTTGCTGTCTGACAGGGGTACGTCCTCTCTTAAACCCGTGCCCAAATCCCTTTAGTCTGTGCTCTTATAACATCTGGAGTACAATCAATAACACAAGCCAGACAAGCTAGTTAGGGAAACCTAACATAGGATAATGGAACAGCAAGAGGTAACATTTATTTTTACTGCGTGTATTTTGTTCTCTGCACACGTGACACACTCTGCATGCGTAAATTGAGCTTTTTTTAAATTGAGGCCTGTTGTCTGACGAGTTTGTCGAGTGCACCGTCGCCCCCTACTGTGAGTTCTGCCTTTACGAGACATCGGATTGTTTTAGAAATATGTTCCCACCTACATTTAGCCACCATTTCTTAAGGTTGTCCCAACACGTCCTCGTTATGAGATGACGTCTGGTCCCACAACACTAACATAAAAACCTGAGAAACAGTGATGGGCATAATTAAACTGATTAAACTGAATTTAACTTAATTAAACACTGATTACATTAAGCTGAATTAACTGGAATGGGATTGACGCCAGCACTGTTTAGAAGTGGACTATTATATTTTAACCTCTTATTCTCCAGGGTATATTTAGGTTTCTCATCTGAATTTACATGACCAAATTGTAAGGCAAATTTTTTATGATCATACACACATTGCTATATGCTTACAATTTACTGCTGAAATCCAAAAATCTTAGACGCTCTTTGTATTATTTTATAAAAATAATTTTACAGAGCAGATCACTGAAGAGACGCCATCTGTTTATAGCTCAGATTTGTGGAAAAATGGGTCGACTTTCAGTAGAAAAAAAATTGGGAGTTCAGCTTCTTTTATTATAAGGGTTTAAAATGACATCACCCATCTATTTGACTAGAAAGAAGACAGTTACAGCTCTCATACGATCACCACCTTTAGAATGTAGCTTATGAAATATGAAAGTTATAAAGAACATGACGGAATGCGTTTTGGAACCACCGGTGGTCCCAAGGTGTTGAAAAAGGTTAAAGGGCACACATCATAGAAAATGTCATTTTATTCTCCTTATTTCATAGATTAATGCACCATGTAATAAAACATACTGTGCACATCCATGTAAGGATGAAATGATCATGGTTGTGACATCACAGCCTAAGACATATCAGTCTTTAAGACATAGTTTGTTTAATTCTAAGCATTGAGGCTGGAAAATGGCAGTGTAAAAATAAAACCACCAATAAAACCAACAATATAAGCAAGAAAATTATTCATTGAAATATTTAGGCCTCAATGTTGCTGTAAATATGCAGATGATTTAGGTTACAGCAATTTATTTTTATTAATTTACTAAGACAGATGATTGATTTTACAGTGTTGGGGCTGTTTCTGATAAATTGTCCGTCTCTGCTCTAGGGACCTCCAGGATCCTTCGACTTCCTGTTGCTCATGATGGCGGACATCCGTCACGACATCATCGAGCTGCAAGAGCAAGTGTTTGGGAAGAGGCGGGACTTAAATTTGGACACGGCTCCTAATTCCATTGGGGAGCCAGAGCTTGAGGACTGGGGTTCAGGAGACTCCTTGCTTAATACGTGATGTGCTGCTGACCATGTGACCTGTCAAAGTAAATGAGAGGCACCCTACAACTCTCAAAGGCTAATACCTGAACCTTGTCCCACAGTATTGAATCTTCGAACCTGAGATCAAGCAGTTGTCTCTCTTATTGTAAAGGGAGCTGTACAGCAAACTATTGCTTGGATGGACTGTAGTGGGCACTGGAGAGACACATAAACGTGAGAGCAAAGAAGAAAAAAGACTGTAATTATGAATCGACAATCAACTTTTCCCGCTTTCATGTAACCCATACATGTTGTTCATTAATGTACATGTACATCCATGTCTGTGCACTCATATATATGTCTGTTAGAGGGACGTGTATGATGATTATGTATATTTTGATAATGTATATTTTTAAGCCTGGAATATCATTTTATAATATATAAGTGACAGTTTGGCCAAAAATCAAAGCATCTCAGCCAAGACATGTTTGGAATCTGAGGTTTGAGTCTTTAGTTCAGCACTGGAGCTACAAGGCTAATGTTGCTAACAAGTATTAGAAGCTTATGAATCCACTGGTTTAGAATCATGCAAACTGCAAGCGTAGCATTGTGCAAACTGAATTTTTACAGGCTATTTTTGTTTTGTTCTTATTCTATGGTCAAAAATTCTTTGATGAACCTTTGATGAAAAATTCATCTTTGGAGAGTCGCAGAGCCAATATCTGAATAGGTTGCTGGTGCTTTTTCTAACTGATTTGGCTTACGGTGTTCATACTACCAGCTACCCCTTATGTAGTAACACCTTAGCAACAACCTGGGATACCATAGCAATGGCCTAGCAACGCCTCAGCAACAACCTGGGATACTATAGCAATAGCCTAGCAACTCCTTAGCAACCACCTGGGATACCACAGCAATGGCCTAGCAACTCCTTAGCAACAACCTGGGATTACCACAGCAATGGCCTAGCAACTCCTTAGTAACAACCTGGGACACTATAGCGATAGCCTAGCAACTCCTTAGCAACCACCTGGGATACCATAGCAATGGCCTAGCAACACCTTAGCAACAACCTGGGATACCACAGCGATAGCCTAGCAACTCCTTAGCAACCACCTGGGATACCACAGCAATGGCCTAGCAACTCCTTAACCACAACCTGGGATACCATAGCAATGGCCTAGCAACACCTTAGCAACCACCTGGGACACCATAGTGATAGCCTAGCAACACCTTAACAACAACCTGGGATACTATAGCAATGGCCAAGCAAATCCTTAGCAGCCACCTGGGATACCATAGCAATGGCCTAGCAACACCTTAGCAACAACATGGGACACCACAGCGATAGCCTAGCAACTTCTTAGCAACCACCTGGTATACCATAGCAATCGTCTAGCAGCTCTGAGGTCCATATCTCCAGTTCCCTGAAGGCTAGCAACGCAATCCAGGGCTCGTTGGAATGGGGGCGCCACAATCTGCTGATCGCTTGTTGCAAAACATTCCCTTCTTCTGTGGTTTTATTCATGATGTCATCAGGGATTGTTATTGTAAACTCAACTTTCATCACATAAATGCCAACTTTAAAAAATCTGAAGTTGTGCAGCCCCTAATTGCAGATAGTCAGGTAGTTGCCATCATCTCACATAATTGCGATTAGGCGATTGTGTAATAGCTGTGACAGGCTTAGCTACTGTTACCTCTTTTCATGCTTCTCAATTAGACATCACTTAACCACTTGATGCGATTTCAGCCAAGTGACTTACAGTTAGCATGATGCTAAACTAGTGGTTGTAGGCTCCTGTAACTTGTTAGCTGCATTAGCCTCATGGCTCCAGTGCAAAACTAAAGGAGCAAAACTTCAGACAATGTCTTGATTGATAAAAAAAAAATTTGGGTTAAGGGCAAAAATTTCATACGTTTGTCTTAAACATTAGACAATTGAGAAACGTATAAAATGTTTCTGCGGCTAAAATGATCATGTTGATAGTGGTCATGCAGTGGCCAGCTTTTTCTCTCCTCCGCCCTGCTGCCAGACCAGTGAGATAAAACTGACCACCCTATGTAGCTCTTAAACAGAACAGAAGATATTTTATATATAAAACCAGTTTAAACATCATTGAGTATGGATTCACTCCTAATGCCCATTTCTGAGTTGTGGGTGATGGCTGGTGTTTTTTATGTGTGGGCATGTGTGTGTTTGTGTTGATGCTATATATGTGTGTGTGTGTGTGTGTGTGTGTGTGTGTGTACCGGGTTTATACCATGTTTTGGGGACCAAAACCTGTTTATACACTCATGTTGTGGGGGACCTTTCTGCCACAAGCCGGTCCCCACAATGTAAATCAATAAATTCTAAGGTTAAGACATGTTTTAAGGTAAGGTAAGATTAGGGTTAAAATTAGGATAAGGATTAGGCTAGAGGTTAAAGTTTGGGTAAGTTTCCAAAAATGCATGGAAGTCTATGTAACGTCCCCACAATTCACAAACAAATGTGTGTGTACTTAAACTCAAGGCATTAATTGAGATGGTAATAAGCTAAATATACACAAAATCATCATTTACAGAGTATTTTATGTTGGGAGGTGTCTTTCCCAAAACCTAACCCTTAAAGTTACACTTCTGAAAATAATACTTTTTCATGTTGCAAAATGTTTTTTTTTATTTTTTATTTTTTTACAGATTTTTTTTAACTTGAAAGACTTAGATTCATCAAAAGTTCATGTTTTAAATAAAAAAAAACTTTACTCAAAAAATGCTGTCCTACATTTTCATGTCACAACTAAAACATAATGAGTTTTAGTCCATTGGCGGAGCCTTAATTTAGCCACGCCCCTGCATTTTAGAGCAGGAAGTGAGACTGCATCCCTGTCCCTCATGGCCACATGGTGAGCAGTAAGTTTCCCATTGTTTTCAAGTAAATGTGTCCCAAAGTCTGAAAATGACTGCATAACATTAAGAATTTCACTATCAAAACACATTTTCTGCAAGAAGTAAATGATTTTCTGTGTTTTAATGAAAAATATTATGATTTTATGTGTGTAGAACTATTCAAAGCTGTGTTCGCTAGTCATGTACTGGCTGGCGTTTTTGAGTCCTGCTATGGTAGTTAAAAGTCCTAAATGTGTTTTGAGCTCCATATGTGTCACCTCATAGACTTTCCACCATGGAGCCCCCAAGACCTCCACCACAATTCGAACCCAGTGTACATACTATGTACAGCTCTTATTTCTTTGTAATACCGTTTGTTTACTGTTTTTGCTACAGTTTTTTACCGTTCATATACTTACCTGCTGCTTGGAAGTTTTTCTGGTGTTTTCTGAGTTTGTACTTGACACTTACCTGGTTATTAGCTAGAACGCAAGGGTCTGTAAAAGTAAACATTACCAGCCTACTGCAGATAGCAGTTCATCATTGATTATATCAGTTTTCACACCAGCAGGCTTGGTGAAAGACAGCATAGGCAAAAAGTGCAAGAATAACATAAAATAGCAAAGAATAAACACCGCCGCCTTCTCTGGGCCCGAGCTCATTTAGGATGGCCTGGGGCAAAGTGGAAAAGTGTCAAAATTAGAAATTCTTTTTGAAAATCATGGACGCCATGTCATGATGGTATGGGGGAGCATTAGTGCACATGGCATTGGTCTCCTCAGTTCCCACTTACAGTGTGTTGGTAGAAGAAGAGGTGATGCAAGACTCTGGTAAACATGCCCTTGTCCCAACTTCTTCGAAACATGTTGCTGGCAATTCAAAATGGGCATATACTTGTTTCAAAAAACAACAACATTTGATATGTCATTGTACCATTTACTACTTTCAATAAAATGTAGGGTTTAAATGATTTGTACATAATTGCATTTATGTTTCTGTTTTATCTCAAGTTTTTTGGAAACAGGGTTGTAAGTGGAGCTGAGAAAATGAGTGTAGAAACAAAGTTGTGTACTTAATGAAGTGGCCTGTCTGTGTATACAGTGATTAAATGCAAATTGTATGATTATATAATTCAATAACTGGTTAGTAATTTAAAAGGCAAAATCAACAAGAAAGCATAGTTAAAATAGATCAATAATTAAACATCATTGTATTTATGTAACTGGATAAAAAGCAGACCTCCTTTAGGCTGATTATGAGTTAAAAATATTGCTGACACGTTTATCAAATGCTAGCTTATGTTAATAACGTAGTGTGTCTCACTCGCTCTGTTGCTTTTATATGTCAAAACTAAAGTGACAGCAGTGAACATTAGCACTGCCACGTTATGTCCAGAAGAGGGAGACAAAGTATAGTTAGCTGCTCACTGAAACTGATTTCACCTCAATGTTCAAAGTACAATAGACGACCAGCTTTCGCATTTTAATTTCATTTTTAGAAAACATTTTTATTACAGTGAATTTGAATAGAACTTTTGTTCAACATTTGACTAACAGTAATATCTAGCAAATACTTAAAGTAAATAATGGTATATTAACATATTATTATTATTATTAGTATTATTATTAATATTGTTATTAATATTAATATTAATAATCTGTATTTATTTATTTTTGTTAATTATTTACTTATTTTATAGACAATTTAGTTCAGATAATTAAACATTTCCAGGCAATTAAATATTTCAGAGTTGTTGTTTTCTTACTTTCACCTTAGCATTTATTCAACTTTTTAAATTATTGACATTCATTTTAACATATAACTTTTTATTCTTGCAGACAAAATAATTTGATGGGTTAGGGTGAGGATATAAAGATGTTATGCTCCAGGCAGCTGAACTTTTTAAAGTAAAGCAGGAATATATTGTAGCCTGAAGACAAAAAGCCAAAGTTGTGTTCATTATTGAGAACCATATACCTAAGGGTCCTTTGCCTGACGGGCTGCAGAACAGCTTCATTAGAGTTGAATGGGTGGATTGGAGCAGAGACAGCATTAAAGGGGCCAAATGACTGAAAACCCCAATGTTTTTAACATTCAGTTGTTATAGTACAGTGTGATTCAAAAAGATTCATTCGATTTCAAAGCACCATATTTTTACAACCGTGAGGCGTCTAGGAACCAATCACAATCCAATTGAAAGAGGGGGTCAGAGAGTTTCTGACTGTCACCAGAAGATGGCTCCCTTCAGTCTGAGAGGAGATGAGACCCCTAAGCAGAAAACGCTTTGCGTTCTCCACTTCAATGAGAGTGAATCAGTCATAACTGTGCAGAGTGATTTTCGTGGTCAGTGAAGCTCCAACAGCTCAGAGCGTTCGTCGTTGGTTCCACAACACTGGATGAGCTCCAAAATTGCACTGAAAGAGCTGTGAGTGCAGCGACACCCAACATGCTCAATCCAGTATGGGATGAATCTGACTATGGTGTTGATGTTGTCTGTACAGCTGGAGGAGGTTCATACTGAGACCTTGTACAATTACATAATAAACTTTATGCTCATTTAAACCATTTACAATTTACTGCATTGATCTGTAATGATTTACAAGTGAAATAAATTATTTTGAAATTGGATGCATCTTTTGGAATCACCCTGTATTATATAATAACATGTAATATATAATAACTTATAATGCTATAATAGCATGGCGTTAGCCAGCACTAGCCGGGATCACTTCACTGGCTGGAACTCAAATACTCGCAGCTTTGATATCCCATCTGCACATCGATCATCCATCTTAAAGTCCTTCTGGGCTCTGAACTGCCTCTATTTTTCAAATGCATCACCAGTATTCACTCGCATTTTACTGTGTCTCTGGTCATGGAGCTACTTAGAAGGACGTCAAGGCTTTTTAGGTCGAGTCTAATGTTATCTCTGTTGGTCTAGTTCATTTGCTTGCCTCCATGGCTCGCTGTATTTGCCTGCCAATTTGTTTTATATTCGGCAACCCGGGGTGTCGAAATGAAATGGTACTGGGAAATAAGCAGCGAGTGGGATCACAGGCCAAAACACAAACAGACTTTCTGCTCCGAAACGGAAGTTTCAAAGGAGAACATACTGGCTGTGGCTTTGTTGTCGGAGAAGCCAGTATTTCAACATGGTGCATTTCCTTAATCTCTGATGACGTATCATGGTCGTTTTATGATTAAGCACAATAAACATATTGTTCCTTTAAGTTTGAGAACCTTCTCTGTGTAGCTCTGAATACTGAATGTGATGAGCGTATG